ACACACAGTTCCTTTGAAGTGCTACTTGGATCACCCAAAAAGGGACTTCATGTAAGGAAAACCATGTAGACCATTTTGTTACTGGTTTGTTCCTTTGGGTAAGGGGGAAGTGCTCGCCCGGGTGCCTCTATGAGCAGTGTTGAGCATCCCGCCAAAGGAACTTGTTGCTGTAGCAGGAGAATCATGGGATCATAGAATTGTTAAGATTGGAAAAGAGCTCGTAATATAATTAAGGCAAACTTGGCGGCACCACCACGTTCATCATTAAACCATGTCCTAAAGTGCTATTTCCATGTTTTTAAAACACGTCCAGGAATTGTGACTTCACCACTGCCCTGGACAGCCTCTGCCAGGGCTGGACAGCCCTTTCCATGAAGAAATACTTCCTAACATCAAATCTAAATCTCCCCTGACACAATTTGAAACCTTAGGTAGAGTCCCTGACCCACAGCCAGGATTGCATCTGCTGCTGCAATACTCTGTGGACAAGAGGAGACCCAGAGCTTGGCATTGGATTCTGTTGAACAGGGCCTGGGTGGTGATGGAGGAGGATCTCTGAGATAACTTCATCAGGAGGAGAGATCATCCTGTGCCCTTCTGTGGGCTGACTCCCTGATGAGTGGGAATTGGACTCCCCTCCTTGCCCGCTGGTTTGTGGCCCTCTGGGGAGAGGAGCAGCTGTTGGTGGGAGGCTGCGCTTGTGCTGGTGCCTATGCTGGGCTGTGGCTGAACAGGAGCCCAGGTGGGTAAGAAGGACCAGGGCACCTTGGCCTGTTCCAGCCCTGTGCCCCAATCCTCTGCCACTGCAGGAGCAGCCTTGTGCCAGGCACCGGGTGAAGGGACCAGAGCAGAGCATCAGGGGCATCACCAAGGCTTGGATATGAGTGAAACAACAGCCTGATGGAACTACAAAATTATAGGAATTAGGGAAGGGGGTAATTTTCTATCTTCATCTCACCCACTTCACAGGGATGTTATTAGAGCCAAACAGAAAGGAATCAAGAGGCAGAAGATGAGACAGGTATGCAGCAACACTGCTCCAGTTAATTCAGCACCATTGCTTTGGCATAAAATAACATTTTGGGTGAATCCTGAGCTGCCCTTGCACTTTACACTGTGGTCACAAGGAAAAGCTTTCTGCCATGGTGGTATTGATAAATCATTAATAACATTGTGTCTAGTAAAGCAAAAACCTTTAAGACTCAGTCTGTGCTTCATGAACTGGTAACAGGTGAAGTTGGGTGCCAGCAGCCAGAGTGCCACTGCACATGAAGCCTGGATAAATCACAGGTGAGACATGTTCTCACAGCATGATTTACAGCAAATCCTCTCTTCTCCATAGCAAAATATTTAATCACACTCAGGTGGCTCTTTTTTTTCCCTTTTGAGCCCGTTTTAGCTACCCTGGGGGTCTTGCAGTGCTCCAGCCCTGTGGGCACTGTCCCGAGTCCGCTGTGTGTCGTGCTGCGGTGCTTCACTCACGGGCAGGGCTGCTGGTCCCCGTGGCTGCTCCCTGCTGAACGCTCCACTCAAACAGAGAGCTGACTTGGTTTTTCCTCAGTGGGCTCTGAGCTAATTCATTTTAAAAGCTCCTAGTGAAGGCTGGAAATACGATGCCTCTGCCTCTTAAATATTCCTGATCCACAATGGTTGCATACAGCTGGATTTTGTTTCACCTCTGCCTCTGGAGCTGGCTCACAGCCAATTTAACATGGCTACTTTGCTCTGCTCTGGAAGAGCTCTATTCTGCCAGGAGGTAGGGAAATAACTTAGATTGGAACCAAATTCAAAGTCCAAGTATAACAGGTAAAATTATATCAGAAATAATAATAATTATTAATATTAATAATTTAGATAGCATTTTCTATGAAAGAATTGCAATTATATCTTTCAGGGTATTCCCAAGCCAGGAGCCCTGTGAGATACAAACAAAACTCATCTTGGTGATCTCAGAGTCAATAAGAAAACAAGTAGGAAGTAAATTCCTCATTCTGAACTGGATGAGTCTAGGCTGGTCCTGACTCTGGAAAGATGAACAAGACACATCATTCCATCACACTCTGTGTCTGCAAGTGAAGAGAACATGCAAATTAAGCAAAATATTATTAGTGACATCAGGTTTGAAGATTGCAGGACCTCTGTGTGATAACCAGGGTCCCTTCAAGGGCTGTGAGCCATCCTGCTATTGCAGCTGTGGGATGTTGGGCTTTCAAACCTGTTTTTCTATTAGCATGGAGAAGAAAGAATTTTTATGGCGTACGAAGGAGAACAGTGACCCACACAGGCGCACTGTGACTTGCTCCCAGTGCTCCCCAGTTACTGCACTTCACACAGTTTGTAAAGATTAGTCATGTTGCCAGGATTTGAAACTCTACAAGGGATGGAGAGGCCTGAGGGGATACAGTCATTTATTTCCTGAGCGAGGCTCTCCCTGGCATGCCTGGTGAATCCTGTTTTCTGACACAGAAAAAAATAACTCCTATTTCAGGGTAAAGACACATAGCTGTCTCCCTCCATATCTTCTACAAGTCCAAAACAAATCTGAAACATAAGGCCTTCCCAAGAATTTAGATTATTTTCATCCTTCATGCCAGAAATCTGTGGTAATGTTGGGTGGTGATGAAACTGATTTATTCTCAAATATTTTTGGTACCAGTGAAAATGTTTTACAGTGTTTCAGTAGTCCTAGTGTGGTGCTTCCTAGCATGGCACCATATTTACACTCACCTCCCAACTAGTCATAACTTGTACTATTAAAAAAGGGGTGGGGCAACTTCTAGGCTGGAAGACTGGAAAAAAGTGGAGTGGAAAACATCAGGGAGGAAGCTGAATGAAAGAGGAACCTGAGTTTTTGCCATCTCCATTTCTGACAAAGCCTGACTTGCCTGATGAGGAGCTATTGATAAATCTCTGATCATGGCTGGTAGCTGTGGCACTCTTCCTGGGAAGGCAGCCAGGTTAGTAAATAGCTCTCATTATGAGAACCCAAGGGGATAAAATGAACCATGAAAACAGACCTTCAACAGACTCATCAAAATAACCCATAGTATCCAATAGGAGGGCAGGCAATGTTTTGTCACCACCCTGTTAGGAAGTTGGATAATTATTGGTTAGATATAATTTTGAAAAGATTGTATCCTGTGTTTCACATCCTATCCTGCACTGACACGTCAGTGACCTTCCCACTGGCACGGGTCTCATGTTCTCATGACTGAGAACATCAGGAGTGAGGATGAGGGGGGGCATTTACAGTGGAGTCAGTCAAAAGCTGGACTCAATGATCTTTGATATCTCTTCCATCCTAAATGATTCAGTGATTTTGTGACTTTGTGATTTCATACAGTGAAAATAATTTGATCAGTGTGAAAATAAGAAATTCCTGCCAACAGCTGAAGCTTTTATATACCACATTTTTTCCTGTCTCTTTGCTGTAGATGTACTTCCAAAAATGTGTGTTTGCTTCCTGACATGCCCAAGAGCTGTCTGCTATCAATCAGCTCAAGTTGTTCGGTCAGCTCTGCCCATGCTTCTGCCCCCTCTGCTCTCCCACCACTGCGAGTGTCAGGATGGGAATACTTAGTGATGGGAAGAGGAGTGAAACTCCAGGTACAGCTAATACATCACCCTGAAGCACTTGGATGAAACCCAGCCTCTGATGGAAACTCTGCCCTAAGGCCTGCTGTGTCCATGTTGTTATTTATCTTCTCCTGGAGTACCTTCTCTCATTTATTTCAGTTTACTTCTTTCTCTAGGGACATCTCAGCTTCTGTCTCTGGTTTGGGTTTGTTGATCACCTGTGAATATTAGTGGGCTCCAGGAAGACTGCTGAGTGGTGGGGTCCTGCTGGTGGTGCCTCCCCCGGCCCTTTTCAAGCTGCACCAGGATCTGAGAAATGCAGCTGGGCTCAGCTTCTCTTGGGCTTATCAGAAACACCATCTGCTCCAGGAACTGGTGCTGTCCAATTCCTCCCAATGCCCAACCCGACCCTCCCCTGGCACAGTTTGAGGCCATGCTGTCTCCTTCTGTCCTTGTTTCCTGGGAGCAGAGCCAGAACCCCTCAGCTGCCCCCTCTTGTCAGGGAGTTGTGCGGAGCCAAGAGGTCCCCCCTCAGCCTCCTCTTCTCCAGGCTGAGCCCCTTCCCAGCTCCATTCCCTTCTCTGGACACACTCCAGCCTCTCAAGCTCTTTCTTGCTGCGAGGGGCTCAAAACTGACCCCAGAATGTCCAGGACTGGGGATAGGCACTGCCCTGGCCCTGCTGCCGCACCAGGGCTGGAACAGGCCAAGGTGCCCTGGTCCTTCTTACCCACCTGGGCTCCTCCTGTTCAGCCACTGCCACCAGCACCGCCAGGGCCTTTCCTGCCGGCCCTTTCCAGCCCCTCTGGCTCAGCCTGGAGGCTCAGGGGCTGTTGTGACCTAAGGATAGGACCTGGCACTTGGCCTTGTTCACCTTCAGATCACTGGGCTCGGATCCAGCCTCTCCAAACAAAACTATGGAGCCTTCCTGACTGACAGCACATCAATACTCCCAGCAACCTTAATGTCATCTGCAAACTCACTGAGGGTAAAGAAGTTGTTAATTCAAACACCCGAATGGCAGTTGAGGGGATACAGAAACCAGGATAGTGTTTTCTGCTTCGACCTATTTTATATAATATTCAGCATCAGCTAGTTCCAGCAGTTACCTGGTTTAGAAGACATACTTAGAGTGAGTTCCAGTAAATATGGTTTTGTCACCTGCTTCAGTAAGTACAGCTATGCTGAAAATCCCAGCCCAGACTATTCTGGATGCTGAAGAGACTAATGAGAAGGACCATGAGCAGTGCTTACCCTGCCCAGAGCTTATTAAACAGGTGCAAACGGCTGACCTGGCATGAACTGCTCCTCACACAGCCTGGAAAATTAATCTCACTTCATTACTGATGACTTCTTTTTAAAAGAGGTATTTGCCTCCAACCAAGAACCTGAAAAAGCACAGCAACTCAAGGAAGGAGTCCAAGAATGAGTCAAACGCATGTATTTGTTTGCTGCCCCTCTGAGATACTTGCCCAAATTTTAAAGCAGCACCTGACTTAAAAGAATAATAATCCTGTGATTAAATTATTTATACTTGAAACCAACTTGCAGATGCTTCTGTCTGCTAAAAAATACATGAACTCTGAAGGATTCAAAGACTTAAAATACAGATTTTATGTCTGAAAATGGTTTGCAAATCTTACCTAATTACAAGAAAAGACATGGGAAGCAGCATCAGAAGTGTGACAGCCATGAGTGGGCATGAAGAGTCCTACAGTTGGTGGTTTGTGAAAAATAAATACAGAAAGAAAGTTGTCCTGCGTGCCTCATTCAGAACTTGTTCTGAGTTATGTTTACATTACTACAGCCCACAAAATTAAACCACTGCCTGCTGGATACTGGTTAAGTACATGTTACAATGGAAATGAGGTAACAAAAGACAAATTAGAAAATAAAAAAGAATGTCTATTCCATTACAAATCACACAAGTTTGATTTGTTTCTTACAGAACATATACATGAAAGTCTGGTACACCAACAGGTTTTGAGACATAACCAAAGAGAAAGGTCAGTAGTAAAACCTGTAAATGAGATGAGACACATGAAGTCAATCTTCTATGCTTACGTACAAAGGAGCTTTTGAAAATTGATGCCAAGAAAATTGATTCATACAAATCTGCATCTTGCATCTACATATAAGTGCAACCTAGAAAATTCAGATTTTTCTTACAGCAGGTATGATACTTTGGAAATAAAATGACTAAAATGTTTTTGCTGAAGAAATTCTTGCAACTTACATCATTATTAGCAATAGTGTATTTAGAAAAAGTGTAAGCCCCTGAGCCAGCAGGTAAGAAACTAGAAAATATTTATAACTCTTTATATATATATTTATAAATAAAAACTTAAACATTTATTTTGTTTTAGCCATAAACTCATAAAAGAAACAAAACTGCAGCAATCAATGATGGGAAGAGAGAGAGGAAACTAGAGAGAAAAACTCAATTCATTTTGCCATTTGAATTGCTGCTGACAGGCACTTGGTACCAGTTTAATGGGTAAAGTTTACCCTGGATCTAGTTTACCAGTTGAGCCTAGAAAAGGTGGCACTTCTAATACAGTTTCCAGTAATTTGATATAAGAAAGATCCTTTTACAATGAAGGTGGTGAGACCCTGGCACAGGTGCCCAGAGCAGCTGTGGCTGCCCCTGGATCCCTGGCAGTGCCCAAGGCCAGGCTGGACAGGGCTTGGAGCAGCCTGGGACAGTGGAAGGTGTCCCTGCCCAGGGCAGGGGATGGAACAAGATGACCTTTAAAGGTCCCTTGAATCCAAACTACTCTATGACTCAAACAAATAAATATAATGCACAGAATACACAGAAGAGCAGTTCATGGTAAAAAAACATTAAGTTAGGTTATTTGTGTCTGTGCATGAAGGACAGGACATTTTAAATGTGTACAGAACAAACAATACAAATGATTACCTGTGAACAAAGCTAGGCAAAAGAATGCTGCTTGTTTCTGTTTGTCTCATCTTTCCTTTAGCTAGAGTGGGAAAAAAAAGCAAACAAAAAGCTGTGCAAAAGCACAGCTACCTTTATACGCTGCAAAGGAAGTGCCCTGCTGGGCTACAGAGTACATGGGTTTGGTGCCAAGCTGTGAAATAAAGGACAATGTGACCATGCCAGAATCAAAGGCCTGACATTTCTTACCATCATTGAAATGACAGATTGCCACAAATACCAAAGGCATGCAAAAAGAAAAGTCCTGTGAAATGCTACCAGATGATATTTCCTTGTTTCATGAATTTATGCTACTTCTCTGAAAAAAAAAAATTAAGTTTCTTCAGAAATTGAAATGCCAATATTCCAGAAAAACAGCATCCTTAGGGCAAAACTAACCTTTTCTTAGTTTAAATATTAACACATGGGAAAATTTCAGGTATACAAGTGTGTTGGAAGCTTGAGAAAGCTGCTTGCTGTGTCCAGCTTCTTAAAAAAATTTTTCTTTCCCCACTGTGTCCAGTGTAATTGGCTCAACTGGAAATGGCATCTAAAATGAATGCTCCAGGTCTCTGAAACACAAAGACATTGATATTTTAGTGATACAGGAATTATTGTGAATGACACATTTGGTTTAAAGGGGGAATTAAATTTTCTGTGGAAAAGGGTGCATAACAGTAAAGGTGTAGCCAGGACATAGTGGCCAACCACTTCTCTCAGGGGTTTGAGGAGACTGCGGCAACAGACTGAAAACCACTTAATTTTCAGGTTACATGCAGATGATCAGATGTTTTTAGCAAAGGCAATAGGTACAAATGAGCAAACAACAGCTTTAATGTTCCAAAGCAACACAGAACTTTCACATTTAACAAGTCTGCAGCAAAAAATAGGTTCTGGACACCACATTTGGCTGTTTAATTAAGAAACTACATGTGTGAAAGCATGGAGGCAGGAGCCCACAGCTGCTGGTTCTGTTCTGAGCTTCCTCATGCCTATTTCACACCCTAGTCTCTGCCTCTGTCCCTGATATTGTGTGTTTCGTCCCATGAAGGCTGCTAAAATTCCAATAATCCTTCATGCAGCTCTCTAGGTTTTGCCAGTGTAATTTTGGGGTTAGTGCTTCAGTACTGCTTTAACATATACTGCTGAAGTCAACATTCTACCTGCATTTTGGATAATAGCTCAGATAATTTATGCACTTTTTGCTGTTAAAATTAAATATGTATAAGTCTGTTTGTAGTGACTATGGCCAGAAAATGCATTAAAAGTATCTTGTTTCACTGCCAGAATTTCACAGGTTTTGGTTAAAGCAGAAAATTACACCCACACCCTGATATAAATACTGCAGTTTTTCATTTTCCTAGTATTTTTTACACTGATTTGCCCCCATGCTGTTTTGACTGATGATAAATTTTGGTTTGACTCCCATTCTTGTTGCAGATTTCTGTTGCACCATTCATCTGCAGAGTAATGGTTTAAAGGCCTTGTATCTTCTTTTTCATGGAGAAAGGGTTTCCTGTAGAAGTTTGCACAAAGCAGTAATGTTACTTGCACGGCTGTCTGTGAAGTACAGAGTGCAACCATGGCCTGTCAGCCCAGTCATTCCTTCTTCAGCAGGTCTCTGACCCTGGGCTGAGATCTGGGAGACCAAGTGCCAGAGCAATGTTGGCATGCACAGACTTAGCAGTACTATTTTAAAGGCAGATGCTCATCATGGTGCTTCTTGCATTACAAGCCTATAATTTGGGTTTATCTCCTCCCAAACTGCTCATCATAGCTATGATGCTAGGAAGATACCCAGTTTGATCCCCACAATTCCTATATTCATCCTTCTGTATAAATAAAGAACAAAGCTGCAAGTGCAAGCAGAGCAACAACATTGTCCTAAAGGGCCCCATCTGAAGTGATAGTGCTCATCTTCATGAGCTGAGACTCCCACAGAGCAAAGCCCTACCCTGTGGAGGACAGAGGAACCACACGATCTGGAGCCAGCCTAGGAACTGAGAGGCTCCAGCATGTGCAGTGTTACATGTCAGATTTAACAGCCCTAGCTACTTGGAAACAAGACTGTCTTCCGTGTTAAGTAACAGGCTGGATGCAAACCTTCCTTAAAAAAAGCAGAGGCATTTGGAGAAAGCAGAACAACATTATTTCCCTTATTGTCTCAGTCAGCAGCAAGGAAAAGGAGTACCTAGGCCAGGACAATTCTTACACTTCCTACAGGTGACACGTGCTGACATCAACTTTTGAACTCCATATTCACAAACACATTGTAATAATTTATCAGTTCCCAGCAGCTTCTGCTTTTGCACTAATGGGAAGTGAGCTCAGGTATCTGCAAGAACTTGAACAGTACAGATCAGCCTGTGGCTGTTTCTAAAATGCCCCAGTGTGCCCTGCATTCCTGGATGCCGTGCCTTGCTACCTCATGCTGCAGGAGATCACACTCACCTGGTCTTACTGTCTTGATGCTGGCTCAGCAACTGGTTTCTGCACTCCAAAGGCAGTGATAAAAACATTCACAACTACTATAATGAATACCAGTCCAGTTGCAAGGTTGTTGAGGAAATTCAGCTTTCCATGCTTTGCAGGGTTGTTAAGGTCATATCTTACTTCAAAGAGAAAGGAGAAAAAAATGTTTAATAATATGCATATTTCAAAATCCAGAATAAAAGGTTTCATACTGCTGCAGTTATCTTATGCTAAGCTATCTGGATCATATTTAAAAGGGAAGTCAGATTCTGCAGTGTCAGTGGGAAGGGGAAGGTCTGTAACCACAAGGAGCTTATTAACTTCCAGTTATTAGCATCTAATCTCTGTGGAGACACATGGGAAGTAATGGATGCACAAACATCACGAGAAATCTTTCAAGTTTGTGATGTTTTGATGCCTAACTTTGTTGCAGACGTTAAGCACTTAAAAATTATTTCAGTCTTGAATACCTGAAGCTTAAAGTCCTGACAGGATTAAGTTAAATTTCCTAGTTAAAATGCTACAAATCTCGTTACCAGTGCTGGATTTTTTCTGTACTGGTGCCCTTCCCCAGCTTGTATTCCCTTGTACTCCCTGCCTTCGCCCTGATTCTGTTTTTAGAAAGCAAGGGTACTCTATCTATTAAAGAGGGAGATGTCAGAGCAGTGTAGCTGCAGTCCTTTCTACAGAGAGCATCTGCTGTGTAAACATTTTGCTTTGTTTCTTGCAGCTGTTTTTCGGTTGAACTGCTAAAGGGAGTGAGGGAGGCTCACACAAGCATTAATGTAGTGTAAGCTTTGATTGCAGGCTTTGTGATAGCAGACAAGTTAGTTACATTGGGCTGATAATAGGTTTGGTTCAAGACAGTGAGAAGTCTGGGGCATCTGCCTGGCATCATCAAATCATTAAGGCTGGAAAAGATCTCCAAGGTCATCAGGTCCAACTTTGACCAAATACTATCACACCCATTGAAACACCATGTGAAAATCCAACAGTTTCCTGTCTCTGCTCTCTGGCAGCAAGGGCCTGCAGCTGAGACCCTTGCTACATTCCTTTGATGCTGATGGAGTGAGTGCTGATGAATTATGGAGCATGTTTTGAGAATGGGTTTTGTCTGTTGAGACTCCAAGTTCTCAACAGCATAAATCACTGGAGCTTGTGTCTGCATGTGAACAATATGTGAGAGAAAGTTTATACAGCAACAAAAAACCTAGAGCTCCTTCTAATGGGCACATACATAGACATACAGCTTATGACTCTACCACACAAAATAAATTTTGTTACTTGCTTGTACCATCATCACCCTGTTCCATACAGCAGAAGTGAACCATTGAACCAATATCCCTTGCTGTTGAAGCACTTAAGTGGTTGCAAACACACTCGTGATGCTGAAGTGCTAACAGCCAGGTTCACCTGGGATCCCTAATAATGCTGGTTGGGTTTCAAGGAATTCTGAGCACCTGCTCAAGTCCTGTTTGCTAGCACAGTGTAGTCAAACATCACAGGCCAAGAGCATTGAATAACCATGTGGGGGAACTACCCTGGGAAGCCACTGCACACTACTGCAGGCATGAAATAATCTACCTTCAGTACTACTTCAACCTTAAAATGAGCTTACACGAAAAAGGATGTAAAGCATCTGGAAGCATGTGGATGCTTGCACCCCAACAGGACCTGGAAGGACTGCCATGTGAATGCAGAATAAATGAAAATGAATCATTAGTTCTGAAACATGGGACAAGAGCATTTGAGACAGCTGGATAAAAATGGAAAGGCAATGCTGGCCTGACCTATTATGTGATTTAAAAGCAATAACACTGAAAGGCAAACTGTCACTTTCAGAGCTGTCCCTTTGTCCAAAGGAGGGTCAGAGAAGACAAGTAATACTTGTCAGTTTAGGAAGAGCTCTAAACTTTTAAGTAGAATTACAGTAATCCCATCTTTGTAATTATAGCACTTAAGATGAGGGTGTTTGCGAACATATTCTTAAGAACAGTTATTCTTCAAGTATTTTATTATAGTGGATTACTATGATTTCATGCCACTGAAACTATTTCAAGACATTCTTTGCTTTTCTTCCAAAAAGTTAAGGTCCCCAAATCACTTCCAAGGACAAGTTTGCTGAACATTTCTCACATTGTTTTTGGGAAAGGATCTTTAGAAGGAGGAAAAGCTTTTAATACCTAGTAGAAACTGTGAGAGCAGGTGGCTTCCAGGATAAAACCCTGACTCAAGGAAAGAAACTGGATGGTGGCACAGACTTGAAGAAATAGAATTTCATGGCTGGACAGAAACAAACTATTCCTGCAAGCCAAAACCCCAAAACTAGAAAATATACATTGTGAAATGCAAGTTCTTGCTCTGATGCCTGCATCTTCATACCTTTGTGTCCTATTTTGTGTCTTCGACCTCAGCAGGACAACACTGCTCCAAGAGTGCATCACCATAAGCCAAGGTCTCTGTTACCCTCAATGTGACAAAGATAAAATTGACAGCAATCTGTCACAGTACAATCTGGCTTGTACTGGGCAATTAATCTGACTATAAATAAGAAACCCAACTGGTTCCATAAACTGGCCCCTGGGTTGACAGACAGGAACCTCAACCAATTACATTCCATCCTAAGCTGCAGACATCTCCCTGGTCAGGAGCTGGGCTGTGTGGGGATCAGAGCAATCAGCAGTTGAGACCAGGGTTTTCAAATTCCCTATATATACTAGGTTTGGACACCAAAACATGCTGTTTGTCCCATGGAGCTTTGAGGTATGTGTGTTGTCCCTGTCTCCGACCAGCGAACAAACGGAACATGTGGCCCGTAACCTAACAGCAATTTAAACTGTTTCAGCAGTGTCTTGCAGAAACAAGCATTAAAAAGCAGTATCTCAGCATATACTGAGAAATTATTGCCCAACAGAAGGGAGCTTGTTTACAGCCTCAAAGCTCACTGAAGCAACCAGGGAGATGCCTTCAACTGAGGAACACAGAAGTATTTAGCTGATTTTTCCATTACTCACTTCCCACATCTGCCAGAATCCACAGGTTGGTTTTTTTTTCATACCATGTGTGAACTCTTTTCAGTTACATTAGGCCCAAGGTCAGTTCCCACTAAGGTAAAGGATGACATTTGAAAAACATTATGAGAATAAATGATCCCATATCACTAGCAGAAATGATCCATAGCTGTTTCCTACCAGTGGCAGTATCATTTATTCCAGCTGGGCAATGGTAGATGCAGTTTGATTGCAACATAGCCAAGCTAAAGACAACATGCCACATTAACATGACAATGGACATTTTGACTTTCACTTCCCTTTTGGAGATCCACATTCACAATATTTTCTTATATGCTATGGAAGAAGTACATTTCAGTCATAAGATTAAGTAACAGGTCTTGCTAAAAACATTATTATGAAACTGGATAGACTGCATTATTCTAGCTGGCCTACTGATGTTTCTTTTACAGTATTTCATAACTTTCCTTCCTCCTCAGGCTTTCTGGAGGAAAAACTATTCATAGCATGGACAAATGAGTAGGAGGAAGTTGATAAAAATTGGAAGATTTGACATAAAGTTGCCCTTCCTCCCGTTGTTGCAGTATTTCTATGGTTTCAAGAGAAAATATGTATTTTTGGACATTAGGAAAAATTTCTTCACTATAAGGGTTGTCAAGCATTGGGAACAGGCTTCCCAGGAAGTGGTTGAGTCATCACCCCTGGAGATAAATAAAAGACGTGCAATTGTGATGTTTATGTACATGGTTTAGCGGTAAACACGGCAGTGCTGGACTAACTTTTGGACTAGATGATCTTACAGGTCTTTTCCAACCTAAATGATTCTGTGATTCTAACCTGAATTGGTTCTGAGATAAAGGCTTTTTAAAAAGTGTGTATATTTGCCATCTTATAGGCTGTGTCCTGTAAAAAAAATACAAGTCAGTGGTTCTTGCTGTTGCTACCTACCAAGGAATATTAGGAGCACTCCCACCATAACTTGCAGGGTGAGCGACAGACCGATGAGAATGATCAGTGGGACGTAGAAGGAAAAGGAGGGCCCTTGCTCCATGACAGCTTTGAGCTGGGAGGCATTGGCCATCAGCAGGGCGATGTCCAGCATGCTCTCGGCCGCGCTCTTCTTGTTGGCGTAGTGGTTGATGTTGATGGGTCTGTTCCTTTGGAACCACTGCCACCTTCTGCGCTGGAGCCAGCAGAGAGAAAAATGGTTATTCATGTCTCTTAATTGATGGTCAGTGAGACATCACTTGGCCCATCAAATGATTCCTGTGATTATATGGGCAGAGCCACAGCAGTGCTGAAATCTTCTGTGCAGCTTTCCCACTGTTAGCCCTGGCCTCCATAAGGTGAGCAGAAAGCAGTGCCTGCTTCTATTGCCCTTTGGCACTTTTTCCAGCTTGCCTATAGGATCAGTCTAAACAGTCAGCATGTTCCTACCCTGGGAAATGAAGAGGCTGGAAAGGCTGGGAGGGGAAAACCACTGTATCACAATCCAGCAAATCAACAGGTTGTTGTGACTAATTAACTCCTGAAGGTACACTTAAGAATACAGCTATTTAGTAAATTCACTTTCCTTACATACCCAAAAAGTTCCTTCATTGCTCTTGAGTCTTCTTTTAAGGACTGATGTGAAGTTGGCCACTGTGTGAGCTTTGCTTGCTCTCCTTTCCTTGCTACTCCTTTCTCCACCACACCACTGTCCAGGGCCATCCATACACCTGTACACAGATGTTTTTCCACTTAACTGTCATATGATGTGTTGCTGCCAAGAATTGCCCACTTAAAAGAGAATCTTTCTTTCCCCATTTTCACATCAGCTGGTTTTGGGTGGTTTTTAATTTGTTTGTTTTTTTTTAATTGCTCTGCAAACAAACGGGAAAATAAAAACCAACTGTAGGGCAAACTTAGGGCTAGATAACCCAACAGGATAAATATATGAGTGTTTCCTGATGATGATTCATGTGACCTGACTTGAAATTTGACTGCTGGTCTCCCAGAGGTGGATTAGATGCAGCTTAGGGTAACTTAGCTGCCCAGCTCCACGAGGAACGAAGCGTAAGTGATCCTCTATCATGCTGTCTCTGAACAGTTAGGAATTTCATTATTTCTGCTCTTTCTTCTAGACTTTAAAAATAATAGACAAATATATGAAAAGTAAGCTTATTCTAGCTATCTTCTTTAAACCTACTTCTTAAGAGACATTTTTACTGTCCAAATGTGTTCCTGCTTGCCAGACTCCTGTGAAAGGAGTCTGGCTTTGCAGGTTAGCTCAAATGTAGAAAACCCTCGAATTACTCTCCTGAGCAGCACTAAACATTATCAACTCCCAAGCCAGGCTTGCCACAGTCCAAACCTAAAAGCATCCTTTTAAACAGGGTAGATATTCGTGTACACACTGCCAGTTTTTTCAGGGCATTTAAATACCAAACTTGACCTGTTTTCACCAGACATGTTGTCATCCATCACAAGCCTAAATATTTGACTGAGTGTAATAGGGCAGCAGCAAATGTCAGAGGTTTTTCTCAGCCTGTGATCTTGCCTTCACCAGGAAAAATAACCTGTAATCATGAAAACCCTAGAAATATTCACTTCCCGTCTCCGGACTGATGCTAGAAAACCATAAAACAAAAATCCAAAAAAAAGAGCAAATTAGCCTTGTCTTCTGAGGGCAAGCTGAAGGCCACTCCCAGAGGTATTGAAGCTGATGCAGTCAGCACTAAATGGGCTAAATGGACACTTTTTAAGATCAGACTGTGTGCTACACAGCCATATACACACAAGTAATGAAATAAGAGATGTTGCCTTAACCTCAGGAGAGTGACAGTACGTACAACAGAAATTATAGTAGAACATGGTTATATGGCTTTAAGGTATCAGGGGGATTCCAGGCATGCAGAAATGCATGCAGCCCACAGCACCAAACACTCACTGTGCTGCGACCACCCACAGGACCGTGGAGAGGGACAGTGGAATGTCTGGAGGTAAAAGAACGCTTTTCCTGCAGGTGTCACTTGGCTAAAGAGCAGTATGCATTGCATGAGACCTGCTTCAGTCTCAGTGCAACCAAAACACCTCCTCACACACATTCAACATTCAAATTCCCTGGTAGAGACATGCTAAGCGCATGTGTTCATGTCTGCAAAGGAGTTTGAGCCAAGCCAGCACATGCATTCACATGTGTGTAAGAGGCATGTGCAGCTGGGACTCCATTCCCTGCAGTATTCCCTGTCTGCCTTCAGGTCCCTAGTGCTGCAAAGCTTCAGCCTCACAGCACAACAACCTGCCCTGCTGGTCTGTGCACAGTTAGACAAAGGACAGGAGTGAAAAGCCTCTCCCTTTTGCTCCAACTGTGACTGGAAGAATCCCATGGCAGAGCTGATTTTCACAGTGACATGGTGCTGTCCCAACAGGCAGTGCCACTTTAGGTCTCCTCACAGAAGCAGGGGCTGTTTGTTTGCCCAGAGCACTGCACTCTGCAAGGATAAAGCTACAATGTCATAAATGGGCACATTTTTGGTTCTGTAAGATGGAACCTTCACTCCAAGATTGTATGGTACTGGTTCACAGTCCCTCTGTGTAAGTACAGACTCTGTGTCTGCTTTGCTTCGCTCCCCATTTCAATGGTACACCCAGAAAAACTGAGTCCCTTTGAAATACAGGAAGGATTTATTGGTTACATTTATTAAAAAGCAAATAAAAGCAGCTCTGCAGGAATTTCCTTAGGTGCTGGGTTTAATGAATCACAGCTAAGTCCCACCTGGTGATTCAACAGGAAGGAAACAGTACTGAAAATGGAAATATTTGAAAACAATAAAGTATCTTTGCTAAACACAGTAAATTGTTATAGAAAGGTTACAGCAGTTTTCTTTCTATTTGGGGTTAGTTATTTTGTGGGCCAACAGCCTTGATTGAAAATGAGAATGGATGAGAATGACCTCTGGGTTTGTAATGCCATAGAGCAAGCTTCCTGAAAATCTTGTGTTTAGGAATAAGTCTGAATTGTAAAACAATGGAAACTTTCTAAATAATAATGAAGCTGTACAGAACTAAAGCTGAGCCATACTGAACTTAGTGGGTCTGCTCTTTACTGTGTTCTACCAATCAGAACTGTTAAAAAGATGCTAAAAAGCAATTTTGTTTAAAAAGTAATTTACTATGGTTTTGAAGTATTAGTCTTTCAGAAAAATATGACATGGCTAATTTTCCTAGATCTCTGAGGGGAAATTTTGCATTTGGAAAAAATTCTAGTTAAATCAAAAAAGAGATGGTTCAGACATTAAAGGAATAATAGAATAATACAGGACTAAAAAAGAACACTATTTCAGAACTTTTGTTTTTTTCTAAGATCAAACATACAGTTACAGGATTGAACTAGCAACTTGACACTAGTATTTAATAATACTTATAGTTGTAGAATTTCTGTCCACATCTCCATCACCTACACACTGAAATTGCGAAGGGCCATATATGACCACTCTTAAGTTAGACTTCCCCTCCAACTCAGAGATCTTCCTGATTTAAAAACAACCAGGTAAAATATTCAACAAAGAAAAAAAGTATTCTTCCAATGAAAGTATTTTAAGTCATATCAGTCATATAATGGATGATTACAGAATCACAGAATAGGTTGAGTTGGAAGGACCCACAGGGACCACCCAGTCCAGCCCCTGGTCCTGCACAGACACCCCAACAATCCCATGCTGGGCATCCCTGGCAGTGTTGTTCCTGCAGCTCTGGCAGCCTCGGGGCTGTGCCCATTCCCTGGGAGCCTGGGCAGTGCCAGCACCCTCTGGGGGAAGAATCTTTCCCTGAGATCCATCCTAACCTTCCCTGACACAACTCCAGGCCATTCCTGCAGGTCCTATCACTGGTCACCACAAAAAGACATCAGTGCCCCTCCTCTGCCACTCACAAGGAGTTGTTGACCCCAGTGAGTCTCCCCTCAGCCTCCTCTTCTCCAGCTGAGCAGACCAAGACTTCCCCCCTAGGCCCTTCACCATCCTCTTGGCCTCCTTATCTCTAATGGATCATTTGTACACCTCCTCAGAAAATACTCTGTGGTTTATCTTTCAAAAAAACATTAGATCACTTGTTCAGTTTAAGCACTGATGCAATAGAGAAATACCCCTACCCCTGGCTCTGGAATGAATCATCAGTTTCATTTCGCATGGAAATTCTATTTTGAGGAGAGGGAGGACATGTTCACCCAAGTACCAACCCAGTGTAACATTAACTAGTTTGTGAAAACTCTGCAGTTACATGCTGTGGCTGCAGGCAAATACAAAAAAAAAAAAAAAAAATTTAGCATGTGTTTGTATTTCATAGACATCACGATTTTCTAGCAGCTCCAAAACCCTGCGCTAAAGAAGAATCACTTTTATACAAACAGAACATGCAACCATGACTACATCAAGAAAAAAACTGTGGCAATCATGTTGACTCCTTGTTGACTCCTGAGAGCTAAAAAAGTTAATATTAAAAAAGGGAAAAGTACAGTCTGCTGAGGGCCAAGCCCTATTTTCCTAAAGATGTACTGGTTCCAGGATCCAGTTAAAATATTTCCACTCATTAAATTACTGTAAAATAATCAGCACATCTCATGACTAAATTTGTGAAATGAAGGAGTAACTTAAATTTGTTCACACAGCTATTTAAATAGAAGTCTGCTCCTGCATAATTTTTTCTGCCTTGCATTATTACTACTCACTCCAGTCATTTGGGCTTACAATACTATTTCTCACAACTGGGTTGTGGACTGTCTATTTTGCGTGGTTGTGTGGTTAACACACTGTTTGTTTAGTCTAGCTACTTAAAAAACATGCAAGCAAAAACTTATCACCAATAGTATCAATATCTGGAGTATATAGAACACTCCAAATTAAGTTTGATATGAGTAATGAGAACATATCATTTCAGGCTATATGCAGCAAATAATTTCAAGTTCCTACAGGCTGGTTACTTGCAGTATGATGCGAAGAAACTGCCATGTTTCAAATTACTTTAATGTTCCAAATTACTCCTGAATTAATATATGGACTTCAACACATTTTTAGGAATAACATCATTAAAACTGTTTATTTCTACTATCCAATTCTTGTTCACCTTTTTCATAGCTCTTTTTTAACTCCTTCATCTAACACATCCTGTTAGCTTGGAAACACTAAACTAGATTTTACAACATGGTGGATGGAGAGTGTTTCAATATGGATCATGACCAAAGAAAGCAACTAGATGGATGAAAGAACAGTTATAATCTGTATTTGTTTGAACAGATCCTTTGAAGATGAGATACTTCTGCTAGGCGTATTAGTCAGTGAGGTGCATCACACCAGTCCAATCCTAGAAGCAAGGAATTTCTTGCTTCCAAAAGCCTGACAGCTGCTAATAAAATGTATTCAAATGAATGCTGGAGTAAAAATAAACCACATCAAACCACCGTGTCACCACTTGTTCAGAACTATGGAGAGCTTAACTGGTCTTTTTAAAACTTTTATGCTTTGATTGCTTTGAAGGTAACAACTGCACCTGCATTTCATATCAGCTCTTCTGCATGAGAAAGCAGTGGTCTGTGGCACAGGTGTGCAAGAGAGTCTGTTTTGAGGAGAGGACATCCAGGACATCCCAGATGCTGGAAAGGGTGGGAAGGAAACAAGAGTGACCCATGTTCCAATGCCTGTGCATTCCTCAAAGCAGACACACTTTTGAGTCCAATACAGAAGATCCAGGCAGCTGCAGATGGTCTCTCGAGGTTTAAGTGGCTGCTGAGCTGGGATATTCTTTTGTTTGTGTGAATTGTGAACACTGGCAGATTTTTAAAGGCATCTTCTATTCAGAGAGGGTTTTTGAAAAATATGTTCCCATCTGTTTTACCTTGCATATACTTTTGTGTGTGTGTGAGAAAATTTAAAAAGTGTTTATGAAGTTCACTGAAGTGCCACTGTATACATTTAAAACAATGGAATAGCATGTCTCACTGCTTATTCTTTATATGGCACTCACTGAGAACTTGAGTTTTGATGGAAAGATGTAACAAAATGAGGGTTGCTTGCAACTGAAGATGAAGTAAAACAGGAAAGTTGCTGAAAAATTATTGGAGCAGACCACATTGGGGAAAAAAAACCCCATCAAGAGTACTTGTGATGCAATCACAAAGCTGTGTCAAGAAAATGAGAGAACTCCTGAGAAGTCAGAGGTTTAGAGGAAAACACTCCAGACCACCAGTTTGACTTGCATATCCCAGTCTTGATTAACTTTAGGTAGAATTTCCAGGATTTATTAAAAACAGATTTTTATTTTTCTTGTTTTCATATTCATGACTCCAAGGGTTTGTAAGGGAGGGAGGGTTGGAGGAAGGACAGATGTGCTACACAATCAGCCCAGTCAGTCTGAACGCTTCGCCAGTGACACCAGAAGAGGGTTTAGAAGGTTTCTGTGTAGTAGAGACTTAGGCTGGAGTAAGAGCTGCCTTTGGAGTTTAGTCCTTTCCAAAATAAGATAAAAGACATTCTTTTACCCATCTGTTTTCTTCAGATAAGTGGCATGTTCTGCAACATCCTTTATACTTAAACAGAATGCGGATGAGTATTTCCCAGCTAGGATGTCTGGTGATGTTTCGAGTACACATAGTATGAAAAAGCTGGGTATTCTTGTTTTTATTTTGATTACTGCATAGAAATTAATCATCCAGGCACGACCACTTCACTAACTCCTCCTAGCTTTGTAACTGCTTATCCTGCGCGGATATCCTCTCCCGAGCCAGCTGGGTGGACAGAGCCCTGCGGGTGCGGCGAGCTGCGGGCTGTCCCCGGGCGAGGAGGGCCCCGGTGACAGACGACAGCCGCAGGAGCAGGAGCGGCCGGGGATGCTGTGCCCGGCCCTGCCCGGCCGCACGGACCCGCGCAGCGGCCTCCAGCAGGAAGGGCGCGGAGTGCGCGGCAGGCAGGTAAAACAGCAATAACCGAGCAGCACCGACCACCACCGCGCCCCGCGGAGTCCCCGTCCCGCCCGGCCTCGGGAGGGGCACACCGGGACGGACACGGCGCCGGGAAGGATGCGGACGCCGGCTCCCACCGCCCCGGCCCTCACCTGCTCCTCGGCCGCCGACTCCGCGCCCTCCGCCGTCCCGTTGAGTTCGTGGGTCTCGCTGCCGGAGTCCATCGCGGCCGCCCGGGACAAGAGGGACCCGGGCGGGGGCCGAGGGGAGGATTCCCCGCGGAGCAGCGGTTCCCGGAGCGGGCCCGGCCTGCCCGCACGGCTCCGGGGCCACTCCCGCCGGCGGGGCCGCCCTCCCCCGCCTCCTCGCCGGGCTCCCCCGGGCTCCCCCTCCCTTCCCGCGGGCGGAGGGTTCCGCGCAGGGCCGGGCCCGGCGGAGCTCAGCGCTCGCCCAGCGCCCCGGGCGGGCGGGCGGAGCCGGGCAGAGGCTTCACGGGCACCGGCCAAACCCAGCCGGCCCGGGCTGGGCCCTATTTCCTAGTGCTGGCCAGGAATCACGCTGCGTATTATTCTGTATGAAGAGAATTGGTAATGAATGCGAATGGCTCATTTCAGAAATCTTTCTTGACAAAGCGGAAAGCTGTTGTGGTGTGTTTAGCTTTGAATCCATGTTTGTCCCCCCCGTTCTCCTCCCTAATCCCCTCCCTTTCCCAGTTGCCAATTTTCCCAAGTCCTTCCCTAACCTCCTCCCTGCCAAGTTGTCAATCCTCCCTATCCCTGCCCCTTTCTCCAGAGAGTTCTGTGTCTATCTTGTTGCCCTCCACACCCCATTTGTTATTTTGTATTATTCCCCCCCTCCCATTTTCCCTGATAGGCTCATAAGCTATTTGCCCCACCTTATACTCCTCTCTTACCATATACTCATTGGTTCACTTTCCTATACCCCTACTCCTGAGCTGCTCTATAAAAACTTCTGTTCACCGCCCCGAAAGCCCCGGGGTGGGTCCGTGTTGTCCCACCCTAAGTCCCGTGTCCTCACTGTGTGTCCCTGCCGAGAACTGGGAATTGCAGCAGGGAACAGTCGCGCCCCTGCCGCAGCCGCCCCGCGCTGCTACAGAAGGCTAAAGTTTGATTTTTTTTTAAGAGCTCACTGAACAGTGTTTTTAGGGTTTCAGTATCTTATTTTTAAATTATTTTTTGTCCTATATATTGTTCTATATATTTTGTCTCCCTATGCTTATTTTCCCACCTGTGTTGTGACAACAAGCACGTACAAAACCAATCATCATACAGGTTTGGTGGTGATGGGATATCAGAGGAACACTCAGTTGTATAGAAACGACTGCCAGCGAGAGCAGAAACGTAAAAAATAAATGTAAGCAATCGGGTTTTATTTGACCACATGTAATCTCTTTTAAAGCCTGAACTGCTCATTTGCACTGAAAATGTTCCTGAGTAGTTGTTAGTGCAGTGGGCTAGAAACACTAATTTGGAGAGAGCAATAAAGTTTTTATAGTCCATAGAAAATGGAAGAAACAATGTATTATGACAGCAAAGATGTATGTGTGTAAATGATACTGTCCTTAACTAGTCCAAGGCTTAAAAAGGCACATTGCTTTCCTTAATTATTGGGTTTGTGGTAGCTAAACTTCAATAATATGCTCAACTAGGCCAGCCTTTATCAGATATATTACCTGTTCATTCAACAGCCATTAAATATGCATGAACCGTAATTGTTGCTGCATTTGGATTCCAGGACAACTTGGTCAGGAACCTCTCTGGTTGCAAGCATCCAGTGACATTTTCAGAGATACTGCTATATTTTTAATGACCCCTTTTTTACCTTCTATATCTCTTTGCAAATGCATTTTGAGAACCTTGTTTGCCAGTTCTAAAAGTTTGATGTGCTCTATGACATTATTCTGCCCTTAGTCCTAGAAATGAGAGGTCTGCTCTTTGGACATGACAGTGATAGTGCTGAGTGATTCCTCCTGAGTGCTAACTCCCTTTGTGCTGCACAATCATGTGCCAAGGAGGCCTGAGAGTAGGACCTGTTCTTAATCCTGTAGGAAATGGGTTTATTTTCAGTGGAACTGGGAAACAGCTGAATTTGTGTTTGTGAAACATATGGTCTGGAACAGTAGTTCTCTGTTGAAACTCTGCATTTGTCAGTCTAGTAGAATTTTTTCAACAATAAAATTTCCAGCCTTTGAGGTAGTTCTGTGGTCAGAGAGAGGCATAGGTGATGTGATCGGTCTGCAGCCATGAAATGAAACAACAAGACAATATTCCGTGGCAGGTAGATCTTGTTTGCGTGTCAACTACGAAAGGAGAAGCCTGCAAGTGTTGTCGCAAGGAGTCTGAGTCGAGGGTTCTGGTGAGTGTTTTGCAGCCCAGATACTGGAGGGTGCACATACAGGGACCACTGTCAGAACACCCATTAAAATCTGGATGGGAATATTTAGAACAAAAATAAAACCCCACTGCTCTGCATCTTAGCTATGAAGGGAATTTCCTGTCTCTATTAGATTCTCAAGCTGTTAGTAATTATTTACCATTCTGAGGTTTTTTTCCCTTCAAAATCACTCTGATGACTGACAGGCACAGAATGATCATAAATGCAGAAACAAATAGAAAGGACAGCACTTCTTTGAAATGCTCCAGAATAACTTGAGCTGCAGGGCTGCCTGGCAGCCCCAGGAATCAATGCTTTTGTCAGTATCAGAGTCCTAAAAGTGACCTGAATCTTTTTATTTACTCTGAGCTTTCATGAAAAGCCAATGATCAAGGCAAGGGATAGTGCCCTTCCTTCTAAATCAGTAGGACCTGGAAAGACATTTCAGAACATTTTCCTGACTTTCTGGAAAGACATTAGTGGAAGGTTCCCTGTCCATGCCAGGAGGGTTGTGACCAAATGATGTTTGTGGCTCCTTACAACCCAAAACTTTCCATGGTTCTGTGATTTTGGTTTTGCCTGCTCACATGCAACTGGTGTGGGCTTAATACCTGAAGCACATAAGGAAATTTCCAGCCTCTGTTATTGGAAGATCAGTTTCAGCAATCACATTTGTCCATTTTGGATTTAATATCTTGAAGCAATGATTAAATTTTTTTTTTTTTTTTGCTTAAGATGTGCTGCCTTGCTTGGCATACACATGTTTGGGAGAGACTTTCTGAGAAAGAGAAGGTTTCCAGCAGTGCTGGACTTGTGCCAGAAGGAAATCAGTAAGCTCCTATGTAGAAATAAGCAGAAACATCTACACAAGTGGTTTAGCATTAAAATGGGGACATCTGGAGCTCTGACCCAGAATATACAATTTACCAATACTCTTTTGGATTAGTTTTGGATACATTTAGACGTGTAAGACAGTTAATTTTCTCTGTAAAGAGCAAGTGCTACCCATTACACAAAGGACTTCTCTGTGCAGTAGCGCTCACTTCCCCTGGGCTTGCTGCCCTCCACGCAGTCACACATTGCTGTGCAGTGTGCTGTGTTCCCAGCACATCAGTTGTACACATGAATCAGCCTCTCAGCTTCTCTGTTCTGCCTTGCACAAACAGCTGTTGCATAGTCTGGAATGCTGGGTGCTGTTTGGTGAGCAGCCGACTGCTGGCAGTGCAAATGGCAGTAAGGCTGTGCCTGGCAGGGCTGATGGTAGGGACAAGAGGGACCCGCTGGCCATGGGCTCCTCTGGAAGGGAGGTGGCTGGGAGTGGTCATGGGTATCTCATCTGAATGTGAAGCACAAATTGCGGCGTGGCCACAAGTCATCTGGAAAGCATAGAATTGTGCCTGGGCCCGGCATGGCATGGCAGCATGTTACCTGATTCCAAACCTCGCGTTTAGAGACAGCTGTGCAATTCCCCAGCCTGCCCTTTACACAAATTATTGGCATTCCTCCCTGGAGAGCCTGCTGATCTGTTTTTTACATATTTTTTAGACAATTATGACAGTCTGCCAGGTTGTCAGATGGTTCCACTGTTCTCTAATTCTGGAGCACATTCCTGAGGAGATCTGGTACTCCTGGGTTAAGCTTTCTATTAACTCCCTCCTGGAACACGTGCTTTGGGGTGTGCTTGTACTGCTGCACCTTTCCTGCTTCAGCAAGTGTGATAACAAAATGCTAGCTGAGAAACTACCTACTGTCACATTACAACATGAAACAACTCACAGACACATGTTATGTAAAACAGGGAAGAAAAGAACCAAAAAAGAGGATTTTATTTTCTGACTCCACTATATCTAGACTAGCAAAAGTGACAGTGGATTGGAGGGTGAAATTGCCACCTCTCCAACCACACTGGTCAAACCAACAGTCTATCAATTCTCTCCACCCACAAAAAAGAGTGCAACACAATCATTATTTACATGAGCAGTGTGAGAAAATTCAGTAGAAATATGTAAATATCAGAAGGCATAGAAAACTTACAGAAGAATTTTAAAACTCTCAAAAGAACAGGGTGACAAGGTACAGCCTTGTACTTAAAATAGGAAAGAAGTATCAGCAGTTTGGATAGAAGAGACAATAGCAGGAAATAAAGTTCCTATTTTTATCCTTGGTCTTAAAGACTTCCTAACTTTTATACTTTATAGCTGAAATTGCATAGCTTAGTCTATTTCTATACATTAATTTCTCCTTTCAAAAGTTCTAGTAGAATCTCTGCACCTTTTTTAACTACAGCACATAGATGTGTATATATTTACACACTAGTACAATTAGAGGATGTGGGTTTTTTGCAAAATTTGTTGAGGAAATTGTAGAGCTGAAATGAAATGGTATATAAAGTTGAAAATTTGGCATGGTAATACTGGTCAAAAGGTTCTGCTGTGCTTGTGCATTGTCTTTTTTGAAACTGTGATGTGTGTTAATGATTGCTCTTATCTGGTAAAGTGTCTTGCTCAGAAAATCACATTTGCATGCGCCTGAAGCTGCATAACTTAGCAATTTGTTACAAAATACACAAACAACACAGTGATTGGGAGGTGGTGGTCTATTTTTAGAGGATGTACTTCACCTCCACTTCACTTCACTTCACTTCACTTCACTTCACTTCACTTCACTTCACTTCACTTCACTTCAGAGGTACTGAATCTTAATCTAGGTAATGAATGAGATCAGGAATCAGTTGCATTTACATTCCCAAACTGTGTTGTCATTGTTTCATTCTAGCCAACAGAACTTTCTTATGATCAACAAATTCTTTTTATAGATTTTATTATATCAGATAGATGGAGAATGATTTAAACATGTCTATGTGCAAATATGGGATTTAATGTTTACTTTTGAAAGGTGAATTTAAACTTTTTTCATCAAATGTATAGGCAGTGATAGGTCAGAGATGACTCATTTGCAGTAATATACCCCAAAAGAAAGAATTCAAAGACAAATCAAACCTAATGTATTTTTCAGGGTTGTGCAGAAGTGCAGCGGTGGTCTAGAAGAGGGAGTGGAAGGAGGTTTTCTGTAAATCAGAGTAAAAAATGCATCTGTTTAAAATGCCAGGTCTCATTGCAGGTATGAATTGTATCTGAGTTGTATGTCCCCACATATCTTGTCAGCAACCAGGTAACTAAGAGAAGAATCAGACCCTAAAGCTACTATTGGGAAAGAGTAATTCAATGAAAAGACTAATCTAGTTAAATGAAAAGGCCTTTGTGTATGGAATTACTCCCAAATCTAAGTCACAGAACAATACATGCTATTGAAATGCATT